TGTGAGCAGGTCATACACTCATCAGTGGCAGTAACCAAATGGGCCTTGGTGAGAGGACAGCCATGCTGTTGAGTCCAAGTACGGCCTCCATCCCTGCTGACATGCCATTTTGTTCATGGATCCACTGAGCCAGCATCAGGGTGGCTAGAGAGAGGGGCCAACTAATATTAATGAAAGCATAAGTCATGGGCCAACTAATATTAATCAAAGCATAAGTCATGACTCATAACAGCATGAGTCGTATGGAGAACGTCTACCACCATGGTTGCTCTCTGATAGGCATTTGTATGGGGCACTATATCTTCACACTACGGGGCCCATTCCATACACGGAATTCCTAAATTCCTAATTTTTCTTGCCACCAATTAGCTTCAAGTCCTCAGTGAGCCAGTCACCCATCATCTACTGCATGAGTTGGTGTAGATCCATGATTCAGGCCCAAGTGGACAGTTCAACGTACTGCCTGAAGTTCTGTCCACTGGGAAAATTTCCATCCACCACAGTCTTTGATGGTCTCCTGTGAGTAAGGTTACAGACGACGCTGTCCGCTTCTGGCTGATGCTGGCATACTGTGCAGAAATAGGTTCATGCTTTTTTCTCATTTATTCACTGGTCACAGGGAATTCCCCATGAGGTCAACATATGGTTGAGGGAAAGGCAGCAAAGCTGTTACCTGGAGTTACCACAGGAGTCAAAATTGCCTGTTTGTGTGGGTTACTGGTGCTTTCTGGACATGAATGGGCTGTTTTCCCTATATACATACTATTTCCATTTTATAATGGAATATTTCTGAGCAAGTTCAATTATATAATTTATTGGGAAAGGTACCCAGTTCTACATGGGTAGGTTAAGTCATATGTTATTTGGTGTTACTCCTTCCCTACTCATGACCTGAAGAGTCCTGATGGGGTCCGGCATTTAATTAATGCTGCAACTTGGGTTTGGTCCATATCCCTATGGTCCCTGCAGCTGTAGGAGAGGAGGGACTCCTTTAAAGTTTCCTGGGAGGACTTCCAGTTCTCCCTGTGCATATTCATAGCTTTTAATTTGTCTTTTTCCCCATGTATGTTCTCTAGGGTCATGCAAAGAATCAGGTGATGCCATAATTTTTGAAAATACTGCAATTGCCCTAGTAACAAAGTGTTAGAACTGCTTGATCTCCCAGCACCTTGCCCTCCACTTTATTCACTACCCCATTCAGTGATAATTTGAGTATTCATTATGCCACCCTTTACCGTGAACTACCTGGGTCCTATTTGCCCTCATCAAGGAAGTTATCCTTGAGCTGCTGATGACCAACCCAAACCCAGAGTTCCACTTTACGAGTTTGCTTCCTCCTAGGCCCAAGTGGCAGGGGAGGAGAGGTTTCAGGAACTGAGAAGGAGAGAGAATCAGGTAGATAGGCCTCTTAGAAAGGAGTGATATCTTTCAGTCAAAAAACAGCCAGCTCAAGGCAACCTTATAAGGAATAACACCCTGTCTTCCCTCCCCTCCAACTCTCCCATCTCCCACTGGACTCCTGGTCATCCAGAGAGCACAAGAACTCCATTGATGCCATGCATAAAAGTTAGTCCCCCAGGCAGAGCAACAGCAGGTGAAGAATGGGGAAAGAATGGCTCCAGAGGGGCAGGCAGGAGATTTCTGCACACCATACAGAGTTGTTGCAATGATTTCATGAGGTAACAGGCTTAGCAAAATGTCTGACATACAGTGAGAACTCCCGGGCAAAAACACTGAGGAGACCCAGAGAGGTGAAGTCAATGGCTCAAGGACACACACAGCTAGTTCATAGCAAAACCAGGCTGAAGACTCCTGTAGTAGGTGCTCTCTCCACTGGCCCTGCCTTTCCTGCCAGACCGTGTGATTTCACTGCTATTAATCTGTTCCTCCATTTTTAGCTCTCCTCTAGAAGTTACAGCTCCATCATGCAACCCGCATCATAATACTTTTTGCAATGGCATGTGCATCCCATCAGGCTATCTCTACCTCATTTCACTGCCTTATCAGGTATATTTCATTATACCTTTCCCTAAACAACTCACTTTTTAGAATCTGATACAGTGAGCTACTCAACATCTCAGTAGACACACTTCTTTCCATAATTTAATGGAATTTTCCATTTATATATGCCATATGCCTCTTTAAATGTGTAGCAAAATAATCGCTATTAAGAATGCTAAATCAGGAGTTGACAGAAGTGAATTCTAATTCTGGTTCCATCACAAGCTAAGTGTTTGACCTGGAGATGGCCACTTCACCTATCTATTGAGATTTTAGATTTTTCACGTATAACCATTAGAATAGGTGATTGTTCAGGCTCCTCCCAGTGCCAACACTCACTGATGATAAAAAGAAGGAGGAGGAGGATGACTGACAGATAGTGAGCTGCAGCTTTGTACCAGGCACCGCGCTGAGTACATTACCCTCATCTCACTGCTGTGTTGCAGCAGTGAGAAAAACACCTTTCTGTTCTGAGCCAGAGAGGTTGGGAAGGGTGTCTTTACTGCGGCTTATACTGGTCTCTCCTGACTGAGTCTTATGAGCAGTTGAGCAAGGTGTCCATCATCGTGTGGAGAGACCACATCCAAGTATGCAGTGTATGTGACCATCAAGTGTGTGAATTCTCAGGGTTGCCCTGAACTTGTAGACAGGTCTGGTCTGGGGTGCCACATACAGGACCATCGACCAGTAGCTAGAGTTAGTGCTCTGGCTAGGAGGATACGGGCAAGACAGCCTTCACAGAGTGCATCCTGACAGAGGAAAAAGAGGCAGTGCAGAGCGGGAGAGGGAGCAGCCATCTACGGGTGAATAGAAGAATAGAAGGAATTGGCCAGAGTGCCCCACCAAGACTTGACAAAAAATGACAAGAGAGACTTGTGTCCCATAAGTAGCACAGACACTTGCAGGAGTAGGCAGGCATGGAACCAAGGTAATGGCCCTTTTCCTTATCAACTCATGAAAGGCACACAAAGTGGAATGTTGATCCAGACCCTAGGGTTGAGAGCTTGCTTCGGCAGAGCTGCATGGAAAGATCAAGCTTCACCTATTTCCACCTGTGTAGCAGAAACAGGCCTAACGCCACAGACCAGAAGGTCAGGGTGCCTGGGAAGTCTTCAGCCTCCTTGCCGGGCCTAGCTGTGGCCTTGCAGGTCATTCAGGAACTTGGGGGTAAATGGCCAGATGAACAGCCTGGCGATCTAGGGGTTTTTTTTTTTTAGTTTTTGTTTGGTTTTTTAGTTTTTGGTTTTTGGTTTTGTTGTTGTTGTTGTTTTGCTTTTTTTATTTTTTGATGTTTTGTTGTTGTTGTTAATCTACAAGGGGGTTGGTGCTACCAGCTTCCCATCCCACTTGGATCCTTTTGGGGACCAGGAGTAAGGATGGGCCTGGGGCCCCTTCTTTGTTGGCATCACAGCACCCCTGAAAAGATGCCTGGCCCCAGCGGGAATTACTTCTCAGCATCCTGTCTAAAAATGTCCCCAGTCTTCCCCACCCCATAGAGGCTGAGCATAGCTCACGAATCTCCAGGTGGAGGAAGAAACAGGATAGATGCACTTTTCCTTGACTCTTGGTCCTACTGTCCTTGTGAATGCAGGGGAAGGCAGAAGGGGCTTGCAGCTTGCCCTGCAGTCAAGTGTGAGCTCAGACCTGCCCCTTCCCATGCCAGGCTGGGGATCTCTGCTGGAGGCAAGGTCAACCCCAAAGCTCCCAGTGAGGGATAAGTACCTCCCTGCAGGAACAAGTGCCTGCCTTATTTCTCTTCCCCAAATCCCCAAAGCCTGTACAGGCTTCAGCAAAGTGGTGGCTTTTAATAAGACCTTAACTGTTCTGGGGAAAAAATGCACTTACTGCTGGATGGAACTCCCACCAGGGCCCAAGCTGGACAGGAAGGAGATGGTTACAGTTCTAACCCTTCAAGGAAGGTAGCCGAGGAGTAGGCAGAGCTCCAGGCCTGGAGTCAGAAAATCTAAGGATAATTCCTGCTCCGCCTTTCCAGTTGGGTGACCCCAGCAAGTCACTGAACTCTTGAGTCTGGGTCCACACTTGAGAAATAGGAACAAGAGTCACTGGGTTGTGGTATTACACACGTATGACAGGGCCTGTATACGCAGTAGGCAATGTCTGGCACATGGTAAGCGTGCCGTGAACCACCTGTCCTCTTTTCTGAGCTGCAATGAAGGACCAGCCCTGGACTAGGAGGGGCCTGCATGACCATATTCAGGGTGTAGACCCTGTCCCAAGAAAGCTTAACTAGAGAAAAGGCTGGAGGAGTTTTACAAGGGGAATTATCTTCCGTTCACCTGAAAAGACAAAGGGGCAGAGTGTGGCACAAGGAATCTGGAGAAGGTTCTCAAGGTCATTTCCAGGGACAACTGTGTGTGCAGAGAGGGAAAAAGGCAAAGAATCTGGTCATGCTGGAGAAAACCTAGAGCCTCCACCCCTGCTGCCAATCCTTGTTCAGGAGTTCTCCAGCTCTGCAAACCAGACCTGCAGCCTCAGCCAGAATAGATACCCCACAAAACTGGGGCACAGACTGAAAAACTCCACTGGGGGTCTGCTCCCCATCTAAGGCTACCTCTCAGCCTGGTGTCTTGTCTTCTGAATGATGGCAATGTACTCACTTCCAACAGCCTGAAGCCATGGAATAGGCCCCTCCCCCAGCCCTGCCCCCAAAGCTCTGCCAGCAACATCCCCTACATTACAGCGAGGAGAAGGGAATGGCAGTCAGGGAGGGGCATCCCGTGGGGCAGGTATATGTGGGTGGAGGTAAGAGGAACAATTACAGAGAGTGCACAAACACCGTCAGCAAGGGAGTCCCCTCTCTAAGTGCAGTACCGCCCGGTGGCCACTTCCGGGTCCCCTACTAGGTTCATCATTGGCAGCACCTCAGATGTCCTTGGATGGAAGTGGAGAGCACCCAGGCCAGGGAAATGAACTAAGCTTTCTAGGAAGTAAAGCCTTTTCATTAAAGGAAGCCACCCAAAGAAAGAGGCAACAGCCACCAAGGTTTATCCATTTTTATTTTTTATAAAACAAGCTACAAATAGTTTCCCTCTCTCCTTCACAAAGGAAAACCACACAACACTGCCTACACACATGATCCTGTGGGAGACAAGATGCCTGGGGAGATCTCGAAGATCCAAACATCTACAGGCAGGCGCCGTCTCCACGTGCACATGCTTCCTCCAGGCCTGAAAGTGGGGCCAGGGTCTCATGCAAGGCCCATTCAGCTCCAGCAGGTTGAGTTCTCTCACTGGGGCTAATGAGAGAAGACTTCCTTCCCACCTTCCCACGTTGGGGCGGGGCCACCAGTCATTCCTAAGACAACCTCTAGGACTGTCTCCAGGATAGCAGGGACCTCCTTTAGCCCAAGACCCCATCAGATCCTGTCCTGAGAAAGTTCCTCCCACAGGGACAGTGCTTGTGGTGCCCATGCCTTCCAGACCCGGAACGGGATACACAGTCTGCCAAGGTGGAGATACTTATAGGGATATTGGGTTGAAATACAAGATGAGGCCAGATTTGCAAGGGTGATCTGAGGAGGGCACCAGTCCAGGGCTACCCAACCTCCCTCACTGCCACCACAGCTGCTTATGGGAAGGGGCGCTAAGGGTCACTTGTTGCTCTGCCTGAAGGCCACTCGAATAGGCACAGCACCTGGGCAGAGGGAGCTGCGCCTCGGACCAGAAGGCTGGGCAGCCCATCCTGGAATCCCGGGAAGACGCCTGTGACGTCTGCGGAAAGCTGGGCCGGGATTTCCCCGTAGCCGGGTTATCACCCCGGCCCTTCTGACGGAGGCAGAATAGGACACCCAACATCAGTTTTACTTCTGGAATTAGCTTAAAGCCTGGAAGCCCCTAAGAAAACTTGAAGGAACAGGAAGAACCTCAGTACTGGGATTTTTAAAAACCAACAAAACAAGTTTAGTGTTACCAACAAGGTGATTGGCACCTCCCCCAATCCACCCACCCAGGCCTGTGACAGTCACTGGGACAACAGCAGGAGATGGAGGAGAGGAGAGGTCATACCCAATCTGCCCCTGGCACTGAGACAGCTGCGTCTCTGGGAGCCTCACTGGTAGGTCTGCAGGGAGGTGAAGAGTTTCCCTGTTGGTGCCACACCCCTCAGTGCAGGCATTCTGTCCTGTCCCCTCCCCTGCTTAGATATCAAACACCTACTTTTTAAAAGGCCCTGTTGTGTGTCTTTTTCTTCTTTGCCTCCCCTCTTATGCTTTAGACAGAGTAGATGCTAAGCATGGATGAAAACGTTTTGAGTGACGTAATGCCAATCCTTTGTGGATAACTTGCTCAGAGGGTCAGTAAGATACTGGTGTACCCACCAACGCTGGGCCCTCTGGGGATGTGGAGAGCAGGAACGTATGGACTCTGTGAGAGCCGCTACCTGTGCGGGCTATCTGTGGGATCTGGACTCCCTTCCTCTCCAAGGGCAGTTTCCATCTCTCCTTAGCCCAACCTCCCTGGACAAGGCCCAGAGACAAGTGACTTGTCAATTTTGACAACTAATGGCATGGGACAATATAGTCCTCCCACCAGAAGAGAACTTGTGGAGTCCGCAGTACGATTGCAGGACTCCCGTCTTTATACACAAAGGTCAGTCTCCAGACAGAAGTTTAGTAGGCCCAGGATAGAGTCCTGGGTTTTAGAAAGCTGGACTATGTGTCCAGAGCGCCCACCACCCCCAGCAGGGAGAGGAAGAGAAATAAACAAACAGCAATGCCAATGCCTGTACAAAAGAACTATACAATTTACATATATATTTATATACAGCATATAAATCTCTTTCTTCTCAGCCCCAACAACACCCTCCCCACCCCCCCCAAAACCCCCTAAAAGTTGTCAGTAGCAGATCCAAAAACTTACAATAAGAGAGAGAATAAAGTCTTTCTTCCCTTTCCTTTTCCCACTGTGGTATTAGATATTGGTGTTTTAAAATGAAACCAAAAACAAAACACGCAAATAAGAGTTATTAAAAGTGCAAACATGGTGGGCACCACTTATGTTACATGGGACGTGGCCAGGCCTTGGGCAATGCTGAAGGTTGGGTGTCTGGTGGTCCATCCTGCCTCCCTGGACTCTCCACCTGCTCTTGGGCTTTCTGCTCCTTAGACGAGGCGTCCTACTGACAGGAGGAAGGAGAATGCAAAAAGCAAAAACAAAAACATTGTGAGAAATCCAACTATGTCCATCAATTTCCCCACAAGTGCAGCTTTTCCACCTGCTGTCAGCTCTGAGGCTAGGTGGGGCACAGGTCACCTGGACTTACAGATGAGCATCTTTTACCAGCCTGTCCTTTGCCACTTTGAGGTACCACCACGGCAACCGAAATAAGTCTGGCATTGGAGAGAACGAGGCTTTGTCTAGGAAGTGTGGGTTGCAGGGTGTGCACTCTGTTCAAATCACTCTACTCTCACATGCCAGCCTTTCAACTTGGGGCTGGGGTGGAAACGGCAGGGGTTTGTTTACAGGTGGGGATGGCAGAATCCCCTGGGCACTGACCCAATATTTCTCCCGTGTCCTCAGCAAACAACTTGAAAATGGGAGCCTAAGTCACCTGGCCAATCCCTCCACCCCTGGCGATCCCAGAAATGGGCAACTTACTGAGCGGGTTCATGCCTGCTCGTTCTCCCTGGGGGAAACTGTACCAAGGCTACCATCTGCAACAAACCAGGAACATGTGACACTGAGTGGCCTTGACCCAGAGAACTGGCACCTTCTCCCGTATCCTGGCTCCCTGTCCCCTCTGGCCCCCAGAATAAAGAGCAAAGAGTTTGTTTGGCCCTGCTTTTTGCTTTGTGGGTGTCTATGGCCCAGGTGAACTTATTACTGGCCAACGCCTTCACGCAAAGTCCCTTTCCCATAAGGCCTGGCTCCTGCTGGGCACCTCTTTGCAATCCCTCAGCTATCCACTAAGAAGGGCTCTGATGCTGATGCACCTGGGCAGAACCGTCCCAGGTCTTGGTTCCCCAAGTCACAGAACATCGGAGGTAGAAGGAATCCAGCAGTGGCTCGGAGCAGATAAGTGACTTACACAAAGTCCCAGGCTCATTCTGCTGACACCCACCTCTCCCCATGGGGGGCTGAGCCATTGTGGAAACTTCCATGCCTGCTCCAGCAGGACCTGGTCTCCTGTAGAGGAGCAGGGAGCTGGGGGCAAGCACATCAAGAGCTGGGCCCACTCTGAGACGCTTAGGGCCATGTGACTCTGTGTACGCCCCCAAACCTCTCTGGATTGGTCTATAACTTGGGAGCTAGAACCGCAGCTGCACGGCTTCTGCTCTGCCTCCCTCACAGAATTGCCTTGAGGATCCACTGAATGCATGGAGGAGGAGAAAGGGCTTTGAGGAGTGAACAGTGCTGCAGAACCCAAGCCCACCCATTGGTCATGTGAGCCACAGCTCCACGTCCCCTGGGTTACGCCAATATTCCTTACAACTGGAGAAAGAGTGGACATGGGGTGGAGCGGGAGTGGGGTAGATATCGGGGTGGATAGCGGTTTATCCAGTTTTACAGAGGAGGACACGAACTCTGAAAGAAGGTGACAGCTCCAAGGCAGGCAGGTTGGAAGTGGCGGAACCAGGCTGCTGACTTCAAATCCCACCTTTCCTCCGCTCCCTCCAGCAGCTGCTTCTCTCTTTGCTGAGTAGAAAGGCCAGCACATCTAAAAAGGAAGTGCACAGCACTCCTGCCCACCAGGCTGAGATGCATGAAGCAAAATGGACAGCTAGCTGTAACCAGCTCTTTTTCATAGAGGCTTATGTGCTAATCCTGTTACTTAAGTCCTATCAGTTAATCCTCAGAGCGACTTTATTTGAGAGTGATACAATTATCTCCATCTTAGGATGATGAAACTGAGGCTTGGAGATATCAAGTAACCCACCCAGGATGACACAGCTTCCACGCGGCAAAGCGAATTCCAACCTAGCTAGCTGCCTCCAGAATGATGCTCTGAGCCACCAGGGAGGATAGGGGAGAAGAAGCCTGAGCCCCAGGCAGGTGGCATCCTCAGACAAGGCAAAAGAAGAACTGATAGTTCTGAGAAAAGGAGGCACTGGACCCCACCCCACCTGCCTCACAGGGCGGTGACAATGATCCCAGTGAAGGTGCTTTATAAATTGGGAGAGTGAAGAAAGAGGCACGTTATGCAGAGAATTCAGCTCTCCAGGGAGGAGTCTGGTTGGTAAAATATCTGTGTTCAAGTGGAATTTCCAAAACTTCAGTCCCTTGGACCCAAAACTCTACTGGTCCCAAAACTCTGCATCCTTCCCCCAGCCAGCTTCTGCCCTCACCTAGCGTGCAAGCCCCTCACAGCCCACCAGAGGGCACCGCACAACACGGGATGGCTCTGCTCCCGGAGCCGCTGCACACCATCGACCACAAGGGCTTTTCTGCCGCCCAACGGAGCAGAGGGATGGAGGGAGCAGTTCTTAAAGTCATGCCTTCACTCCCTGGACATGCTCCTCTATCGCTACCAATTTCTTTTGTGCCTTCACTATGTACCAATCATGTTAAGTTCTTCACACGCACCATCTGGTTACATCCTCACCAAATCGTTGTGGTAGGTACTATCATCTCCACTTTGCAAATGGGGAAACGGAGGCTTAGAGAGTTTAGGTAACTTGCCAAGGATTACAGATCCGGTAAGTGGCAGAGCTGGGATTAAAATCAAGCCAGCCCCATCTGACTTCAGGGCCTCTGCTCTTACTCCAGCCCCAACTTGTGCCTGATCATGGTATCCCACATCGCTCCTGGGCCTCTCAGTAGTGGTCCATCATCCCACAGGTACTGCCTGCCTAGAAACTGGGCTTCCCAGCTCAGGTTGTTGGTGGCACCCTCACCCCCTGCAACACCTCTACTCCTGCCCACACTGCCCCCAGGCTGGTCTGCTCCCCCACTTCCCCAGACTCCCCCACTGGCCACTCCCTTGGCTTCACCAGGCAACCAAGACTGGCCTGCTCACACAAGGCAACATCTTCAAACACACTGGGGTCCTTCTCCTGGAGGGGACAGCAGTCTGGCCCAGGAATCCTGAGGCTAGACTAAGCGCCAGCAGTGGTGGTACCTCACAAGTACCCTTGAGCAAATCGCTACCCCTCTCTGGGCTAACCTTGACTCCTAGACTGAAAAATTGACTAGAGGACCCACAGAGCCTTCTAGCTCTGGGCTGCGTGGGTCCAGAGCAGTGTGTCCTATGGTGTGTGTTGAAATGGAGAGTGGGGACACAGGAATCCTTTCTGCCTCTGCATAGGCTTTAAGTCTACTCAGCCTCCACTTCACCCCACCCCACTGATTAATCCTACATACCCTCTTCCTCTTATCTCAATGTTCTACTCTCCCTCACTCCATCACACACATACACACACATATGCAGACACATGCACAGACATACACAGACATATACAGACATATACACAATGCATGCACACATATGTACAGACATACACACATAGCCATACTTAAAGACATAAGTGTAGACCTTGTACAAACAGACACAGACATGCACACAGACAGGTGCACACTCAGGCCTACCCATGGAGACATGCACAAACAGGCATGTGCATATACATGCAGAGACATGTCACAGACACAGGCTTTCTGGCCAGACTTTCAATCAGGCAGTGTGTTTAGGGGTGAACAGTAATTCCAAAGCTCTCTGGTCTCCACAGTCCTACCTTTGCAGTGGGGGGTTCAAGAGGGTGTATTGGGCCAAGAAGAATGACAGTTGCACTCCAAAGCACCCCAGGGGCCTCTGTGGGCAAAGCTATGAGAATAACTGAAACTAACACTTGTCCACAGCTGAGTCTGGGTTGAGGAGGAACATCCAGGTGATCAGGGATCCCTAAATCTACATTTTACTTCACAGTGTTCTCTGGATGCTTCTGTCAGGTCCTGTATGCCAGCTGGAAAGGCTTCAGAGGAAGGTTAGGAGGGGTCCCTGAGCTCAGCGAACCTGAGCTCACCACACTTAGCCATTGCTTGGCTTCTGTGTGCTGTGCAGACCAGAACTACCAGCCCAGGAAGGGGGCCAAAGGCAGGGTCAGTACAGAGCATCATCACTCAGCCCAGGAGTGCCCCTGGTATATCTGGGGTCTACAATAACACTGGATGGTCTTTTCCCAACATTGGCCATCTGTCTGTGCTCTGCGAAAGGACCACAAATTCCAAGTGTGTCAGAGCATAATGTCACTGGAAGGGGTAACCCCCTCATCCATTCATTCCTTTACTTATTCATTCATTTAACAAGGACTTAATGAACTACCAGGTGCCACGTACTGTGCTAGAGGTTAGGAATTGAGAGAGAGAATCCTTTTGGCTTCAAGGGGTAATCGGAAGAGTAAACTGCAACACAGTGTGGTAAGTGCTACTGAGAGAGGCAATCATCTTATGAAGAAGAATAGTAATATTGAACTTCTATTGAGTTATACTTCAATTTCTCAGGCACTATAGGAAATGCTTTCACTCACTGTCCATTTAATCAGCACAACAGTCCTACGAGATAGACTCTAGCATTATTCCCATTAAGCAGGTGAAGAAACTGAAATGCAGAATGATTCAGTAATTTGTACTGAACTGAAATCCAAAATGCTCCAAAATCCAAAACCTCTTAAGTGCTGACATGATGCTCAAAGGAAATGCTCACTGGAGCATATCGTATTTCAAATTTTGTGGATTTGGGATGCTCAACCAGTAAGTGCAATGAAAATTTTACAAAATCTCAAAAAGTTCCAAACACTTCTGGTCCCAAGCATTTCGGATAAGGGACACTCAAGACGCATGTGGTGAAAGAGCGAGGCCAGGGCAGAGGCAGGGTTTGAACCATGACATTGCTGAGTCCTGGAGACTCAGAGTACTATGGGAACAGAGAAGCATCCGCATCAGACAGCCACGCCCAGAGTGATGAAGTCACACACCAGTAAGCCTCAGAACCAAGGCCAGAAACCGGCCATGGAGCAGGTGGGTCCCAAGCCCTGGTTCCTATAGGAACCCATACATTTCCCATGCTACTCTTTGGGTTTACTCTGACAACTGAGGAACAAGGAAAATGCCTTTTTGTCTTCTGCTAAACTCTTTCCCTAGGAAATCTCAGCTTTTCCAAAGCTTCCATTTCAAATAAGTCAGCATCACCCAAATCTGTATCTTCAAAACCTTCACGGGCATTACAGAGTCACTCATCCTTCATGTGTATCCAACTCAGTGTGTCCAAACCACGCTTGGGCTCCCTCTGCATCCCTCTGCACCTAACCTGCTCTTCCTTCCATGTTGCCCGTCTCAGTGAGCAGCCCTGCCTGCAGCTGAACAAACCTACCTCTGCCCCATAAACCAGCTTGATCTCCAATCACCCACTTCTCTCCATCCCCCTTACCCTGCTGCGTTTTCATAACTTGGCCCTCCATCGCTCTAGCCTGGACTGTGCCATGCCTCCTATTGGGTGACCCTGTCATGCTCATTTCCAATCCATGTCCCACCCTGAAACCAGAATAATTTTTTAAGAAAAACCGATATTATCAATTCTCTGATTGAACCCCTTTAACAGCTTTCCACTACCCTTATAAAGTCTAAACTCTTTCACCTGAATTTAAAAACTCTCCAACTTCACCTTGCCTCTTGTCACCATCCCTGCTCTTCCTATCTGTTAAAATATTCATTTCGGTCACACAAACATCCTTCACCTCATTGAAAACTGTTTCCTTGCCTCCAGAGCTTCACTCCTCGTTTGCCTCGGCTTAGAACACTCTTCCCACTCCTGACTTCTCTGCTTGGCCATCTCCCACTCATGTTACCAGTAATGGGTTAGACCACGGGTTGGCAAATTTATCTGCAAGAGACTAGATAGTAAATATTTTAGGCTTTGTGGGCCATGTACGGTCCCCGTTATATATTCTTCTTTCAAAAAAACGTATAGCTCTTTACAAATGCAAAAATCATTCTTAGTTCACAGGCTGTACAAAAACAGGCCACAGACTAGATTGAGCATTTAGGCCGTTGTTTGCTGAGTCCTGGTTTAGGCATCGCTTCCTTCACAAATTTTTCCAAGGCTGTCTGTCCCTTAGTGTCTTGGGTGCCCCTATATATGTTGCTACAATGCTCTGCACTTGCCCTGCTGTGACAGAGCTTATTAGTGTTCACCAGAATTCACGCTGTCCTCTTCCTGGGTTCCCTTCCTTAGTGACTGAGTTCTGGCCAATGAATTATGAGCAGGAATGTGTGTCATTTCCAGGGCTGGCCCATACAACTCCCTCACACGCACTGCTTCACGTCTACTCCATCTGGTTGACTGAGGATGGAGATGATCCCCAGAGTAACCTTGGAAACCACATGATGAAGACGGCAGAGTCACTCTCAGCCTGGATCCCAGAGTGACTGCATAGAGCAATCCCTGCCCCTACTCCTTCCCCTACACACACACACACACACACACACACACACACAACCTGCGACCATGCTGAACTATTACATGGGAAAGAAAAATTTTCCACTCTGTCAAACAATGATGTATGGATCTACTTGTGACTGTAGCCTGGCCCACCCTAGCACACTCTCACAGCACTTAATCACACAATCACAGCTCATATGAGTGCTTATTTAAGCTCTGTTTTCTGTGCAAGAATAGGGACCTTATCAGTCAATTCCACCACTGTCTCAAACATCTAGCATGAAGCATAGCACACTCCCAGCAAATAATTGTTGAACAGATGAGTACCTGGGATCTCATTTATCAGAAAGCCCTTGATCCCATGCCTGGGTGGGGGCAAGTATTGAAAGGCCAGGAGCACAGGGGAGAGCACTCACCTTCTTTGCTAACACCCAGGCAGCCCTTCAGCTCGGGCAGTGAAATCACCTTGTCTTTGTTCAGGTCACAGTAGTCAGTGAAACGCCGGGCACATTTCTTGGGCTTGGCTTTCTTCTTCACATAGCGCTTGAAGGGCTTCATCTCCCGCTTGTTAATGTCATTGCTGCTATTGCTGTCCAGCTGGCTGAAATACCAGTGCACCACCCGCTCCTCCAGGGTGTGGCTGGGGTCGGGCTCTGAGAACCTGGGCCATGGACAAACACCCCCACCCCAGAGAACACCACTCAGGATCTTGCAGGAAGCATCAGCCCTGGTATGACTGCCCCCGGGAAGGTCAGGTAGAAACAGCTCCTCCAAGCCAAAGTCCACCCAGAGCGGCTCAGTCTGTGATGGCATCAAGCCATCCTCTCCGACTCAGATCCCAAGATTGGACCACTCTTCTCAGGGCTCCCCAAGTGGGTAATCCTTATTACACAAACATGCCTCACCCTCTACCAAAACCAGAAATGTTCTTGTACACAACGGGTGCTCAAGACAAATTGGCTTGATCTAATTTGCTGAATAAACCAGAGCTGGAATCCAAACTGTCCTTCCCCTTGCCTAGCACTCACTGCGGACCAGCTGCTCATCACACGTAAACATGTGCCCTGGGGTGGATGTAACTGTGGGGAAGATGCTGTGAGCACCCACTGTACACCCAGTGCCAGTCCAGGGCCTGGAGGGTGCACCCCTGGCCTCAGGTGGCTCACTGTCTCTAGTAGACAGAGCCAAAAAGGTGAAAACAGTCATGACGACTAAATGTGGGGTGTGAGGTTCCCATGGTCCATCACTGCTGGACACCCCATGCAGTGGGAACGGAGAGAAGAAAGCAACTGGGACAGACACAAACAAAAGTTCTAAAACTGGAAAAGCCTGGACCTACTGGGGATGAGTCTCTCTAGCTGGAGGTTTTAGTCAGGGGGTCTGGGGCGGACCCAGGAAACCACATATTCACCAGCATCACCAGGTGATTCTGCTGAGAAACGCTGGACTGGAGTCACCAAGAACACTTCCTGGTGTCCAGATGTAGAGTCACAAGCACATCTAACACAGCCCCTCATCAGGTTACAAGACCAACATCTACATCTACATGTGTAACTACATGCAATGGCCTACCCATCTACGTTATTTACTTAACTGTGTCCTATTTTCTCCCAAAAAGGAGTCAGGGTGATAACTACTATTTACAATTTTTAAAGCCAACAATGGGTCTATGATAGAGGGGCTTCCTGGGATCACTAACCAGGAGAATGGAACCCCATGAGCCCCATGGCTCCTGTTCCCAGGGTTTGACACTGAGTGTATGTGATCTAGTGTATGTGATCAGGTGCAGCTTCCCCTGGGGAAGGAGAATAAGGTTGAGGTTGGGAGTCCCACACATTCACATCCTCAGTGTGCAGGGCACTGGGACAGAGTGCATGACTACCAGAGGTCAAAAGATGGGCAGAGGGCTCACTGTTCCACAGGGATCCTAGACCAGGGTCCAGGCCTGTCTGCACATTCTGAAGCTGTTCCTGGTGGGAAAACTATTCAAGGCACTTGTCATGCCACCCTCTCTTCTCTGGGGTTTGCTGAGTTTTCCAGAAGGGAGATAATCTCTGACCCTCCCCTGTGAACAAGCCAGCAAACTCCCTCCTCTTCCATCCCCCCAAATAACCTCCAAGTTCAGCGAAAAGTAAGTTCCATTATGGAGGGGAAAAACAGCCAGTCATCCATCCTTGTTAGATGCCTATTCCTAATTAGGTGAATTTCAGTCTTGGGCAGGTACTCCGGACATCCTGGACTGATTCCAGGAGGACGCAATTAGTGGATCTGCCAAGGGGACCTCATCCTGACAGGTTTAACTCAGAGAGTACCTGGCGGAAGGTGTGAGGGGGCCATGGAGAGCTGCCAGCTGCCTCTAACTCTTAGGAAATCTGCTTAGTCTGTCATGGAAACCAGGCTCAGGAGGTCTTTGAAACAGGCATGAAGTTATTCACTGCAAAACTCAGATTTTGTCTCCGCCAGCATACACAGTATTCTGAGGTTTTCCATCTTTCCCTATTTTACCTGCAATATTCACTCTTAAGATGGCCCCTGCAGTGTATACCAGTTGCAAAGGCAGAAAATTCTGTTGGAATGCTGTTGGTGCAGGTAGGGGAGTGACCTGCCTGTCTCTGCCTTTCCCCAAATAGCAGGGAGGACACAGGCTGCGGGGGAGAGACGGAAGGCCCCTAAGGAAGGAACTCGGTTCTCTCAGGCAATGGGGGAGGCAGTCAGGGACCTTCCCACTCAGCCCCTCGCCAGGAGCCATGAGGGTTCCAAGGCAAAGGCAGCTCTTCCTTTAACCTTTAGGCTCAGTATAGCGTAATGTCTACCTAGAGGCTGGAATAATAAAGCCTCAGTCACTGAGACGGGAAGGGATGAGGTCATCCCACCCAGAGGCCCTGCCAGGGGAGGCGCGCTCCCTCCAACACGTGTTTCTGGGGCTCCCGCCTGTCCAGCTTTCAGCAACTCCACTGATAGAGCTCTGCCACCCTCCTTTGCGCTGTTTTGCAGCAAGAAGCAGTTCTTCTTCTGACTTTACAACCTCCAAGAGTTTCCTTACATGCCTGAGAGTGACCATCATCTGGCTCCTGCCCCTTTCCCTGCCTTTCTTCTGATTTTCCCTTCTTGACATCTCCTTGCCAGAAGAACAACATTTTGACTCTCTTCACTCCCACCAAGACCTCCCAGTGCAGGGCAGCCACAGCTTCTGATTGCTGCCCCCCACCCCGCCTGGCTCCCAGCCAGGGTGGAGATGTGCAGCGTTCACTTCCTCAGGAGAGATCCTCTGAGCCCCTCCAAGGAGTGCCTCTGGGCTCCGTCTAACACTGCCATGACCCACAGCCTGCCCTGTGAGGCCCAAGGGTCCTGCTGCCTTCCTCCCTCCTTCCCAGCTAGCATGATACTCTCTGCTTCTGAACTCCTTTGGCTGCCAAAACAACCCCCAAACTCCCAAGTAAGAGAGCCCTACCTCTACCTGTAAGCTGGGTAGCCCTAGGGTCATCTTTGGAATTCAACACTTTGGCCAGGCCAAACTCCAACTACATTAATAGCAGAAATTTTCAGCTTTGAGTCCATGAGGGATTATGAACCCTCTGAGAGCCTACACAAAGATATGAGCTCTCTCTCTAGAGAAATGGACATACACAAAGAAGTCTGCAGATTTTAGGAGATTAATGGACTCCCTAAATCCCATTCAAAGTCCATGGACTCAGGTTAAAAAGAAAAAAAAGACAAAAAACAAACAAACAAACAAACAAAACCCTTGATCTAGAGGAATGGAGGCTCTAGCCATGGCCCAAGAAGAAGATGCTTAAAGAAGATGGAGTGAGACAAAAGACAGCAGCTGGAGGGGTTTGGGGATAGTTTCCCTACTTCCAACAAAACTATTGAAGGCAATGGATTTAAAAACTCTGTAAATCAAGTTTCTGACCTGGCAACAGCCTTAAGTCACAGATGAGGTTGACAGCAGGTACCCACTATGCTTTGTACAAGCTCTTGGCTAAGACTGAGATCCAGCAAGAGTCCTGGCATAGCAGTAAGTGTGTGCAAAAGAAGACCCAAGAGGCCTCTGTTAACTGAACAGAATCTGAGATTTTTCCTGGGGGAGTGCTGGATAGACATGGAGCAGGGAGGCCTCCCCCAGAGCTTCAGGAATCTCTCGAGCAGTCTTTGCTGGAGACTTTCCATCACAGTTAGACCACCTCAACCACAAAGCCATAGCCCAAGAAAGCCCAAAGCCTTGCCCCTTCCCCTCCCAGTTCCAGGCTTACACCGGCCTCAGGCTCCCAACCTGTCTCACATGAGCACACATATATTCCTGGAGGTTAGGACTGCTGGATTCAAAGCTGCTCATCAGGCAAAGGCTGGGGACCTAAGTAAGAGGGAGCAAGGGCTCCGCAGGATCAGCGTAACAGCACTCACTTGTCCACACTGCAGACTTCTCCACGGGTAAAGTTCTACTTCTACTAAAAGGGCTCACTAGGTAGGTAAAATATCCAAGTTTCCTTGGATATGGTATGAAAAGACACACCCAAATGATACCAAATTCCAGATTTTAGAAGACTATGGTTCAGACAACATGAGCCAGACAATGCTAGTGTCTGCCCTACCTCTGGGCTGTTTTTGTGGCTGTCCTGTTGATTTCTGCCTCCAGGATGAGGAAACCCACTAGAGCCAAGTTCCTCCCCAAACTGGCCCCACGGAGCCTTCTCCCAGTTTCAGAGGTGACACAGGCCACCCTTCTCCCACAGCACTTTCAGTTTTGCTTCTGCAGCCTCAGCCTCGCCAGGCCTTGGCTGCAACGCACAGCTGGAGAGCCAGCTCCGCTTACCACAAGGAAACCTGCTTTGGCCAAGATCTTGGGCCCAGTTCTGCTGTCCTAAGCAGTTTTAGAGAAGGTAAGGCGGGACTGCCTGGAGGCACTAGCCAAGCCAAGCAGACCAACTGAGCCCCGTCTGGAGTTGGGTCCAGGCCCCGCCAGCTGTGCGGGTGCGGCTGGGAAATGCCAAGTCAGCCACATTCCAGCCTCTTCCTTGCAAAGCCATCAACGGGCAACCACACTGGGCAGGAAGGAGGAAGCCACAGTACGGTCTCCCCTCGGGGGACCACGTGAAGGGCCAAGAGGCTCACACAGCCCTTCCCACCTCCCCTCAAAGTTGACTTTCCCTAGGGGAGGGCGGAGCCAGGAGAGGGTTCCCCTGCTCTAGAAGACTCTGCCGGCTGAGATCTCAGAAATCTTCCTTTGGGACTGATAAATGCTAATGGGTGCTATGGGAAGGCTGATCTAACGGGGAGCACTGCCTCCTGGAGCCCTGGCCAGAGGGGACAAAGGGATAACTCACTCACCCAGAAAACATTCACCGTGAGGGACTATCACCCAATGATATTTGCAAGGCACCCCTTCCCACGCAACTGCCATAGAGTTTTCGCAGACACCCCATTCTACTCTGCCTATTTTTAGATATTTGTGGCACTGCTTTTTGCTACTAAATCAGGCCAGAAAAGGGAGTAGATGCCTCCCACTCTTCCACTCCCCACATCTAGCAAGTCTTGAAATCCTATTGATTTCTTTATAAAAGCTTCAGCAAATCATCCTTTTCCCACAGTCCATGCCCTCATCACCTCTCACATTGACACTTGCTATCATCTTCCTGCCTACCTTGCTCCCCTCCACTCCCGCTTCCATAGTGCCATCAGGATGACTCCGCAAAAATGTCCACCTAACCCTGCAGCTCCCTTCTGCCCTGCATCTTGAATCCCAGGGCGTGGCACCAGCTGGGCTCTGCCCAGCTCTGCAGCCTCATCTCCCCAACCCGACTCCCAAATGTGAACCATACTACTTCTTACAATTCTCTCCACACTCCCTACCCTGTTGAGTGTTCACACCTCACTACCCACATGGTCCCCTCTGCTGGAAAGCCCTTACCCCTGGTCCATCTAGGTCAGGCATTTCCCATTCATAAGTGAAGATGGGGCTCCACGGTCGCTCCCATGGAAAGCCTTTCCTCGCACGCCCTGGCTTCCCAGGGTCCCTACAACACTTTCTCAGCCTCTATTATCCCACTGACTTTGTACTGCAGTCATGTGGTTGTTCTGTATCTCCCCTCCAGGCCAGAAACTATCCCCTTTTCTTCAGATGCCCCAGAACCTAGCATGGAGCTCATACCAGGGGCAGGTTGAAACGTGAGAGTTGATGCAAAGCCAACATCTCCATGTCCGACAGGAAGTAGACTGGGAGGAAGACACCTTTTTTCTGTACTGTTCAAACATCTTCTATCCCTTTTTCCCACTGTCCCCAAGTGGGACTGTTTCCCTGGCCTCAGCTGATGTCCAGCTTTAACTACTAGAGTCTGAGAGGATAAAGGAGGGATCAGATGTGGCTTCCTTAACCTCATGCCTGCAGCCCCAACTCTGCCTGAACTCCACAGTCAAAGCCAAAACCCAGGATGCCTGGATTTCCTAATTGTCTTCGTCAGTCCTGTTCCAGACATGCTACCTGACCTCCAGCTTCCCCATGCCTCTGCTCCTCCATCACACAAGAGGGACAACTGGCCAAGGTCTGTCTGCATGGCGCTCCAAGTCCCTGGGTCCCGGCCACGGTGCCCTCAGGCCCTGGTTACAAAATAGCACCACAGTAAACTTGACAACTGGCTCCAGCCTTATACTTGGTCTTTTGGTGGTCGGGGTAGATCCTCTGATGTGTGCCAGAAAGAGGTCTTATCAAAACAGGGATCCATCCATCTATCCCTGTCCCTCTAGCTATTTATTCATTTAACATATTTTATTGGGCACCTACTATGTTCCAGGCACTAGTCTAAGCTCTGGGAATACAGGAGGGAAGAAGACAGAAAATGTTTCTTCTCTCATAGAACTTAAATTCTCACTGGGTTTGGGGAGACAGATAATATATCAACAAGCCAGCAAAGTATCAGACCGTTATATATGCTAGGCTGAGAGTTAAAAGGGGTGCTGAGGTACAGGGTAAACAGGCAGCTCTTGCAGATTGAGTGCTCCTGGAGAAGGTGACATTTAAATAGATAAGCAGTGGCCAGTCATTGGAAGATGGGGAACTGAATTCTAGGAGCAACTGACATACAGGTCCTGGAACAGACAAGAGCTTGACTTGTTCGAGGAACCAGAACTGAGGAGAACCAGGAGAACCAGTGCCTGGAACACAATGATGGGAAGGAAAGGAATATGTGAGGAGAGGTGGGGCCAGCTAGGTTGTCCTGAAGGGCCAGCCCAGGTCAGAGTTAGGGCTTATGCTGAATATAGTGGGAAGATCTGGGACGGCCTTAAACCCTCTTACTACGCTGGTAACCCTGGCAGCTACCTTCCTGGATAGCAGTTTCTCTCTTTCTTCTCCCTTCCCCCACCCACTTCCTTGATTTCTAAACTATTTCTTGGAGCATCTTGTCTGTCTTTTGACTAAAGTCCAGCCTCTAGGTAACATAACTACCAAAGGCAGTTCAAATCTTTCATTCCCATCAAAACCAAGTATGGTCAAGCTAATATGAGCTTAAAATGAAAAACATGTTTTGAAAACAATTATTTTTTTGAAAAATCTCTTCCAACTCTAAATCACACCTAAAATAGAATGGAAAAAAGATCCTCTTCCCTAAGGACACACTGATATTAAAAAATCATAAATTTCTTAGCTTTCATTGCCTGTAAAAATCCCTTCTGTCTGTCATTTGAGGATAAGGCACAAACCTACCTTCCTTCCCCTGGCAGCAGGGCCCATCTGCGTCCCCCACCTACAGCGGAGACCACGCAGTGCTCTTGGGAAAGCAGCCAGGGGGAGCTTGAAGTCCTGCCTCCTTAGGACTCAGGCAGAACTGCAGGTGGGACCCATGCAGGGTCACCACTGAGGGAGCCATGCTGGGGTCCTTCCAAGGCCTAGGCTTTTTCTCTTGGTTGCATTCCTTGCCTTATGGATAACAGTTCTGCCTCTGGGCAGATGCCGGGGAACTAGCGCTCCCTCCTTAGTGAGCCATAGAAGTTCAGAGGCAGGCTTCCCATCTCTGCCAAGCCTAGGGTACCTCCCTTGCTGCTGTAAGGAGACTAAACACCCCCCTGCTTGTCTCCACCAGTCCCTGCTGTGCTTCCCCAACTGGCTTCATAAGCAGAAGTCTTACTCAGCATGTCTCACAGGCCTTTTGGGATCTGAGTCCTGCCCATCTCTTCCATCTCACGATTACCACTCTTACCTCCTCCGCTTCCTCCTCCTCTGACTATCCATCCCAGCCCAACCTAACTGAACCATAGACATGCACTTTCTTGGATCCACAATATCCTTTCATTCTCTCTGGAATGGCTTTCTCTTTTCTTTGACCGGCTAAGTCCTTTAAAACTATCCTTTAAAACTCAGCTCAGATATCACCTCCTCCAGGAAGCCTTTTCTGACTCCTTCAGACTGAGTTAGACAACCATTCTCCGTTCTTCCACCTCTGTCCTAGCACTCACCACAGATTTTGTAAGTATCTATCTATGGTGTAGTATCCCCACTAAGCTGCATCCTTTGAAGGTGGGACATGCCTCTATCCCCAGATACCTTGTCCTTAGCCCAGTGTTTGCTGTGTCTTCCATGTTCAAAAGGTGGTAAGCAGATGGATGAATGCACGCATGCATCTCCAACCAACTGGCCTAAGGGGCCAAACTCATGAGTGCCAGCAATGCTGGTTACTGGGGAGCATGTGCATTTCAGCCTCAGGTCAGGACTGCCTCAGCTACCACCTCAATTCCTGACCTAAGCTGGATTTGGCTACATGAGTGTCCAATTCCATTGCCAAGAGCTCCTTGGAATTCTCAGGATGCCAAAAAGGCATTTGGTTCCTGCCCTTTAGGAGACAAGAAAATCACAAAGTGCTTTGTGCTTCCTCTCTGTCCTCCCTCTCTGTCCTCCCTGTCCCCATGATATGCCCATCACCTTCTTGCCATTCAGAACTCTCACTCCAATCCATCCCCTTCTGAGATTAAACAGCTGGAAGTCCCAGACAGCCCTGGACTTTCCTATAAAGCAGGTAACTAAAAGCTAGGGACAAGCAGCTCCCAAAGAATAGGGAAGGTAGAGGGGCAGGAAGATTTTTGGCAGAAGGCAGGTCAAAGCTATGGGGACATGGTTTCAGGAAACAGATCACCTTCTAGCCCTTGCCCTCCGCAAACCCTGCCCGCTCTCCCACCCTCCCTCAGCATCTGAAAAGTCAGGGGCCCCACATTTTTCTCCTGGGCCTGATTCCTGCTCACATTCTCACCTCCCACCTCCAGTGGGCGCTGCTGAGTTAATGGCCTGAACCATGTCAGTGGTGAGAGCATCCAGTAGGCTGGTGATAAACTCCATTTTCTTCCCTTCTGGACAGCCTAAAAGATAAAATGAGATTTGAAGGTAGATGCCAGGTTATAATCAAGTCAATAGCTTTCTCAACTACCATCCTTTCCTGAACTTCTCAAAGCCCTTCTTGTCCAGCCAAATCCACTTTAGGGATTTGTTTACTGATCAGAGGAGTCTCATAAACTTCCATAGTTCCTTTACCTATACCCCACAAAGGACCATCAGACCAAATAATGCTTTCAATTTTCTTCCATTCCACACATTTTTGCTAGACATCAACTCAGGCACCATGTTAAATGCTAGAGATACAGCAGTGAACAATACAGAAGGTCCTTATCCTTGTAAAGTTCACATCTACAGGGGAACCCAAGCTAATAGCCAAGCAGTCATCCTAAAGCGAGAAAAATACTGTGTTATGGGTAAGAACTAGGGGCTGTGGGAGCACAAGACAGGGAGAGAACCCCCAGTGGTCAAAGTTGACTTAAGTATACCTACCACCAGATCCACCCAAGAGTGTCCTCCTTTTTTCACTTCCCTCCTCATCCATCTTAGATTATAACTACAGCATCTCTCTTGCCAGTACTCTCAAGTCCTTTGTTCCTTTTTTCCTCCTTGTACTATTCCAGCAAAACACAGTAAAGCACAGATGAACCTTCTATAGATACGCCTTTTCCATGTCTACACTACATAGCTGGGGAAAACACCACCACACAATTGGATAAATGGGTGTTCTATAAAGTCACGATCACCAGCACCAGATGGGCCTTCTACACTACTCCCAATGCTCCTCTCCACAGCAACTCCACACAGAAATGAGCAACTAGCTCATTCTCTTCTGTCCCCAAATCCTCCAGGTCTCAGGTTCAACACTTGCTTCTCAGAGAAGCTGTGGAATCTAAAGTAAGTTCTCCCTGCCATTCTCACAGCACATTCTGCTTTTCCTCCAGAGTACCCACCATGACTATCTATAAATGCCCATATTCATTTATTCGTATCCTATCTGTCTCCTTCACTCTGTAAGTCTCATGTCAACTTTGACCACTAGATTATACCCAGTGCCTGGCACATAGTAGAATCTCAATTCACATTTGTTGAGGGGTTGGCTAAAAGGGATACCCTGGCCACCATGACTCCATTCTTGTGATGGGGTGATTTCTACAAACCTCGTGTGGAAACTCCCTGACTTTTGGAACTTTCTGCTTTCAGTTCTCACTTGGAGTCCTGATATGTCATGGAAAGGTGGCCCATTTCCCACCAGCACTAATCTGACTTCGTGCTGTGTAAGGAACTAATCTGACTTTGTGCTGTGTAAAGAAAACAAGATTCCAAGCCACCAACATTTAGTAATTTTACTGTAACCTGTAGGCAGAGATCACTATAAATAAGGGGAAACCCACAAAGCAGCCGTCTGGAGGTCCCAGGGCCCTTCCTATGTGTCTTGTGTCACACTCCATGATGGTCCTGTGTCACAGAGGTCATCTGCCTCTTCAGAGCAGGCAACAGACACTGTCCGCATCGCTCAGGACAGCCCCTCCCTGTAAGCTATCTTATCCTCACAGCCCTGGAAAAAATAACTCACAGTGCTCAACACATTGTCCTCATGGACCTCAGATGGACAACGCATTGTGGAATTGCAGAGACAGGATTTTAACCCAATGACTGCATTATAAAGACGAAGAGGCACAGGGAAGAGAAGCAATGTGCACAAGAGCACAGAGCTAATTAGGGATAAATCCCCGACTGGGATGCAGATCCCACGGCTCCTGGCTCCATCTTACATATGGGGAAACAGACAAAGAGGAAGCAGCTTCTTCTGCATGATGAGAGGGTGGAGGAACAGAAGGAGGTGACGGTGCCGGCAGGGCCAGCATCGTCTCCCACCTGGTAGCTCCCTGTCCTTGAAGGGGTCATCCACCTCTGTACTCTTGGCCCTGGCGTCGCTCTCACAACTGGGCATCACGTAGCTGAGAAAAGAGAGATATGGGGGGGTTGGGAGGGGCAGGCAACTGAGCCTACTTCAGTCACTACTGCCCAGCAATGATCTATGTTGTCACCAAGCCTAAAGCACCAAAGGTGGGCAGCACGATATCCCTTGCGCTGTCCGGCAGCTACAAGGCAATCTTAGCATCAATGTTCCCATTGCGACATGTTCAGGCATGTCATTTCAACCACCCAAGCATAATAACAATGATACTTGAGCTGCACGCAGTATCTTTTTTGATCCATGGAACTGAGTGGCTTAGAAAGGGCAATAATCTCATCAGGAAACTGACGTTCAGAGAGGTTAAGTACTGTTCCAAGGTCTTAAGTTAGAAAGAGACAGGCCTGTGACCAGAATCCAGGTCCCAGGGTCTTTCTACCTGAAAGTCTTCTACTCGTTGAAAACATTGCTCTCCCAGGCACTCCCACCAAACCAGGGCAGGAACGCTGGGAGATGCCAGCATGCCTAACAGCCAGCAGGTCCCTTTTCCCAGGACTCAGCCTGGGGGGCTTACCGTGTGGAGGTCCCAGGCAGCGGGCGCCCTGTGTCCACCAGCACACACCAGCAGTAGCCAGTGGACTGATGGCACTGCACTGGCTTATAGAGTCCCCCAGGGGCACACTCAGGGATGACAATACCCTCACGGGGATTTTGCCGGGCCTCTTCCAGGGCACTCTGCCTCTCCTGGTCACACGAGTAGACTTTCTCTGCAAGAGAAGACACAGCCTGTGGTGACTATCACTCCTGTGATTTAACATTCCTGGCTTCTGTGTCCAGCACCCAAAGTAAGTAGCAAGGACCAGGCCTGGACCCAAGGAACTGATGAGCTGCCCCATTGATGAATTACCACGGAGAGCTGTCTCCCATGTCAGCGCACGCTGAGGGGGCTAGAGGTTCAGAACCTCCCTGTGGCCATCTCTGCTGCCAGCATTCGTTAGCATTCCCACCAAATAGGTTCAACTGCAGCAACAAGCCAGCCAGGGACTCCAGGGATGCCCCTTCTCAGAGTGGCAGCTTGTCCGGAAGGTGGAATATCTTACTGTTTTCAGAGTGGCTCCTATGGATGCTGTCTATGGGCTGCAGGAAAGGTGGGTGCAGGAGCCTGGCTACCCTGCAAGCTGATACAGGAATGCCTGTGCACGTAGACCCTTCCAAGCCCAGACACAGCAGGATGGAGCCGTCGCCATCAGCCTCATGTGGAGTGACGCTCGGCACCCAGGAGGAGCAGAAACAAGGTCCAGCCTTGGCTCCTCCCCACCCTCCAACACTGCTGAGCAAAGCAGGTAGAGTGAATTTCAGTGAATTACACAATGCTGCTTCCATCCAATGGGAGAGAAAACAGGCCCAGCCGGATGGTGTCTGCACCCAGCAGCCTCAGGAACACATGAGCATGTCTGAACAGTCAAACCTGGTTTCCCCCGAGCCAGTCCCCGGCTGAGACAGTGCATGGTACGCTGTGTCCAGCATGGCCAGCTCCAGGGCGTCTCACATCTGCACAGCCGCTTACCTGAAAATTATTTCCAATCAACCACTTAGCCTGCCTGGCTTCCCTTTTTGTTTTCTTCTGGTTTTGTTTTTGTTTTAATTATTAAAAATAAATAGTGTTGGATTTCTTATTATAAAGAAGTTTTAAAAAAGAAACTTTGGAAAAACCTATAATCCTGCCAAAGTTAAACACCGTACCTTCCCTAGATTTTACGTACATACACTCATGGAAATACAGGTGCACACATCTTCTTTTTTGATAACAAAAGAATCACATCATAAACCTGTACTATTACTTTATTTTTCATTTACTTGTTTATTTACCCACTGTATTTTTTTCATACCACTATTCTACAACTCTTCTCTTGAAGAAGTTGACAGGAATGTAGTCTTGGGCATCCCACTGAATGTTTACAGATTGTTACAAAAATACCCTTCTTAAGAGCAAGGAACTTGGTATCAGCAACCTGGAGAACCATGCTGTGCACTGAACAACAGCACAAGCAATCAAAATAACAGACACTCAACTCCACTTTAAAGAAGCCAAGTTCCTTGAAATAATGGCTCTGTTAATGACACACATATAGGTAGAGCGTGCATGTTTAAACAAGCCATGGGAGTACAGAGACACAAAGTAGCTCAGTGCAGTTTTACAGATAAGTCAGATGATAGAAAAACAATGCTATGTCTCACTGCTAGGAAAATGCTCGAAAACAATAGCCTGGTGATTCTCGTTGCAGGGTAAAAATATTTCCTTAGGGGCATAAAAATATCTAAGGGCCAGGAGGCAGGCACATATAGCATATTCACTATTAAAATAGAAAATGTAATTTTGAATTTGGGAAGTGAAAAAAAAAAAACTACTGTTTTCATAATGCAAATATAGAAAAGCTAAACAGAATCTCCTTGGCTAGAGGAAGAGTTTAAAACAGCCGACAGACATCAGACTTGGGATTCTGCCTCCAACTGTGACTACCACCAGAACAGCATCTAGAGGCAGGAAAGAGACAGAAACTGAGCAGGGAGAGGGGCCTTGGGAAACCTGGCTTAAAGATCCAGCATTTTGACTTCAGCCCCTGGCTGGGAAGGTGCCATGGCAACTTCAAGAGGATTATGCAAGAATTTTTCAATAGCTCCCCCAACCCCAATTTGGTAGCCTTATTTTCCTACGTCGTATTTCATGCCATGAAAGAGGCAACAGAGGAGCAAAACCAAAGGAAAACAGCTTTTTACTGGCACCACGTTCATGTAACAACCTCTGACAGAGGCTTTAAATTAAGACTCTCCAGGCCAACCTTCTAAAGCTATAAATCAGACTGAAAGCAAGAGGCAAAGAGAGAAGGGGGGATCTTCCCCAGGGGCAGAGCGAATAATGAACCTGACTTCACACCACTGGGGGTCCCAAGACCCTAGGAAATGTGGACAGGAGCCATCTAAGAATAGGCACAGACCCGTGATTAAGGCCCTGTTGATGGATTTCTGGAAGTCCTTGAAGGCTGTTCTGAGCTGTTTATAGTCAGTGTCTATGAAGTTCCATGGAGAATAAAATCATTAAAATGCCAGGCTCAGTGGCTCATGCCTATAATCCCAGCATTTGGGAAGGCTGAGGCAGGCAGACTGCTTACCCCAGGAGTTTGAGACCAGCCTGGGTAACATAGCAAGACTCTGGCTCTGCAAAAAAAAACAAAAACAAAAACAAAAAACACAAAAAGTAGCCAGTGTGGTGGCACATGCCTGTAGTCCCAGCTACCCAGGAGGCTGAGGTGGGAGGGTCACCTGAGTCCAGGAGGTTGAGGCTGCAGTGAGCCATGATCATGCCACTGCACTACAGCCTGGGCCACAGAGTAAAACCCTGTCTCAATAAAATAAAATAAAATAATAGAAATGATAAAGCTCACTAATTTGGAAAAATGGGGTATAGCAAAGAATTTTTTTAAAAGCCTGAATGCAGGCTTTATTTTATTATTTTTATTATTGATTTATTACTTCATTACAGTATCTGCAAGTCCAGGTGCCTCTAAGAAAGAGACAGGAGTGATTTATCATAATAGCACTAACCCTCTGTGAAGAGTACACAGTGAGTTTGTCTCACAGCAAAGAGAAAATCTCCCTTAAAATCATCTTTACAACTAATAACAATAAAAACAAACATTCATTGAGTGATATGTGCCAGGCAATAGACTAAGGGCTTTACCTGATTAATCCTTTGCCCATATGAGGTAGGCACTATTATTATGCCCATTTTGTAGACAAGGAAACTGAATGTTGGAGAGATTAATGGATTTTCCCAAGTTCACTCAGCCAGGAGAGAGAAGGGCCGGGGATCCTGACAGTCAGGCTTGACTTGCTAACCTCTAGACAGTGTTGCCTCTAACCATTTGCTCTAGGAAACAAATAAATTTATTTTTACAGTGAGCTTTTCTATGTCAGTGTCTTTGTAGACTATCCCAAATCTGCTGCATTCAAAACCAAATGTTCTGGACACAGCACAGCCTCTTCTAAACAATGATATCTTCTCAACCTACGCAAACTACAGATCTTGTACCTGGATATTTTTCTCTCTTTGCCTCAGAAGCAGAAAACTTAATACCAAACTTAACTCACCCACCATTGCAGAACTATAAAATGAATAAAAATAGCTAACATCTGTTTGAGTATTTACCATGGGCCAGACTTGGTATTAGGTGCATTATTTGTATTAACTCACTTCAAATTCATTACAAACCTTTAAAGGCAGTGTTGTTATCCTCATTGAACAGAAAAGGATGCAGAAACACAGACTGGCTGAGAAATTGGATCAAGATCAAAGAACTAGGAAGTGGTAGAGCTGACATTTCAACACTGGCTGGGTGCTTCACCTCTCTGCGAGATCATCTTGACACAGAATAATCTGATTTTTATTCTAACCTATATTTTTCTTTTACTCAGTATAGTTCATCTCATTACAAAACAGTCCTCACTGAACTGTGCCTCCCTGTGATCATGCCCCTGTGTGGACCCCTCACATGGACTCTGGTTTGCTTTGGCCAATAGAATGTTGGAGGCAACGCTGATGCTGTGTGTCAGGCCGAGGCCTCAAGAAGACTTGCAGCTCTGGCTTTCACTTTTGTGGAAGCTGCCCTGAGATCACCAGGAGGAAGCTGGTCTCGCCTACTGGAGAACAAGAGGCCACAGAGAGGAAAGGGAAGCAACTCAGCGAGTAGATGTGAGAGGGAGGTCACCTTGTACATTCCAGCCCAGCTGATCCTCCCCCACCTGGATGAATCCAGGAGTAAATGCAGATAAAACAAGTACCCGGCCAACCCACAGACACATTAGAAAGAATAAATTATTTTTATGGTAAGCCAGTACATTTTGGAGCAGTCTGTCACACAACAACAGATAACTGAAACATCTAGACCTCCTCAACTATTCATCAACTTACCTTATACATGTTTTTGTAGCCCTGTAAGCCCTTCAATCAACCAATCAATTATTCTTGAAGGGCTTCTCTAGAGGTTATGGGTCATGCAGACGCTAATCAGTAACTACCACAGGTCATAAACTTATTCCATATCTGAGGACCCAAATTTGTAACTCACCCACCTTTGCAGAACTCTAAAATGAATAACAATAGCTAACATTTATTTGAGTATTTGCCATGTGCCAGACTCGGTACTGGGCAGTTTGCTTGTATTAACTCACTTCAAACTCAAACAAGCCTCTAAAATATGTTCTTCTTATCCTCACTGAATAAAGGAAGATGCAGAAACACAGACTGGCAGAGTCACTGGATCAAGATCACAGAACTAGGAAGTGGCAGACCCAAAAAGCCAGCCCACCCATGGGGCCACTGCCATCCTCTGTCCTTCTCGTTACCTGGATCCCAAATGCATGTTAAAATTCACATCTATCAGTTTTCTTAGGTACCAAGAAGTCCCCTTTCAGAATGCAAGACAGGGGACCAATTTCATGGGTCTCTTTGTGATCCTGGGTTCAGAGAGGGAGCTCCCCAGAAGTAGACACACACTGTTCTAAAATAATCTCTGCTCAGGAACATTCAGGGAGAGATGACAAGATTAGAAGGTCTGGCCAGGTATCTATGAGAATGGGCCAGGACCATCTGTAAACATCTGGAAGCCATAAACAGCAGGGGAAAGGGAACAATCAGGGCTGTCCAGTGGGGCATGGAAACACATAACCACACATACACACTCACACGCCTGCCTATAATCCTGTCCCTCAGAGGGTGCAGGGAAGTGAGAGTCAGGTCATTCCGCACTTGGCAATGAGTGGCTAAAACGTCAGTGACAAACCTCTGACTGCCTAAGAGAAGAAACACAAGAGAAAAACATCCAAGCAAACTGCCCAGTACCAAGTCTGGCACATGGTAAATACTCAAATAGAAGTGAAACCATGTCCACTCCTTGTCACCAGAAAGCACACAACCCTGTCCACCACTAATTGCACATGGCGAAGAAAGACCAAAGTCCAGCAGGAGTGGGCAGGGCAGGAGACAGGAGAGGAAAAAAGAGGTTGGACCAGATAAACACGAACCCTGTCTCCAGGCCCAGGGCACGGGTTCTTTCACATCCCACCAAGATGGGATAAGCCTAGAGCACAGCTCTATCGGCCCTATCAGCTAGGACCAGCCCAGGCCTCTGTGCCTCTCAATTACTCGTGGTGATTGGGAACAAAGGAAAGCATGGATAACCTAAATACCCAATCTTGATGTTAGCCCAGAGTTTAGTCTTTTATCCCGGAAACCTTTTCTTCTTCATCATCTTTTTCCTTTCTCTTCTTTTTTGGTTTAAACCAAAAATGGCCAAAAAGCATAAACATTACAAGATTTGAGTTTCGGCTCTTTGGGCTGGCCTTTTTTTCTAGACACTGCCTTCCAGAGGAGGAACTGCTGAAGAAAGGAGCAGACAGAAAAGCTGAGATCCTGGGTAACCCAGCACCAAAGCACCTTCTGCACATGTAGTCAGCAGTTATTGGTTGGCCAGCTATGCTATAAACATTTTGGAGAAAGAACATGGGAAT